TAGATTCACAGCTGCAAACCCAGCCTGCCCGACGTTGTACAGAACAGGACTAAGCTGGGTGCTGCCTTAGTCTGTTTGGGCTGCTATGACAGAACACCCGACAGGGTGGCTTGTACACCACACAAGTTTCTCAGAGTTCTGGGGGCCGGACATAGGAGAACAAGGCACCGTCAACTTCAGCGTGTGGTGAGGACCTGGTTCCTGCTTCCCAGGCTGCCCTCTTCCCACTGGTCCTCCCTCCTAGAGCAGAAGGGAGAGGGGGATCTCCGTCGTCCCTGTTTGAAATTCCCCTCTCCAAGTCCCAGCTCTTTAATACCTTCACCTTGGCGGCTAGAATGTAGCATATCAGTCTGGTTGGGGGGGAGATGGACTGCATTGCAGACACCAGGCCATTTGGCTGATTTCTAAGGTGGACTTGTGCACTTCCACAAGGGGGAGCCCTCGGTACATCTTAGGTCGTATCCTTTATCCCAGTGACTACAGCTTTCCCATTTTACACGTTGCTCTGAGCAAGCATGCAAAGCCCCCTGAAACTCTCTAATCCTGTCTGATTGTACCTTACTCATCGTTCTCCATTTACCTGAAACAAGGCTTTCCACACTTTACAGCATCATTTCCTGTTTATCAGCTGTGGACCTCGGTGTGCTGTTGTGTAACACCAGGGAAGGGGGATTATTTAACTTTCACAAATAAAGTCTTCTCAATCTGAGAGATTATTCCCAAACCCTTCTTTTTAGCAGCTCATTCTCACACTGTTTCATACAATCCTGCCCCATCTTTATTTGTCATATTCCAGAATTGATTATTATTATAAACACCAAAGAAGGTAACGGGGCTTATTGTTTCTTGCCCCACATCTTTAGAATGTCAATGAACAATTAAGTTTATCAACCTTGACTGGATTATAAGGAATTTTGGTGGAAATAACATGAATTTGTACAAAACCCAGTACACGCTGGAATCTCTCTAACCTCTGAGGTCAATGACACGTCTTTCTGATCCATACCTCTAACAGAGAAACCTCAGTCTTCTTCACCTCATAGGGTCAATATTCTTAGGAGAATTAGATAAAGTTTCCAAAAGGTACTCTCTGTTGAGTGAATGGAAAGAAATCACTGGCTTCATTATCCTCAAAGAACATCAGTGGAGCACCCATGGACACCCTGCATGGCTCTGGGCATCATATAAAACCAGAGGGGCAGATACAGACCTGCCTTCCAGAAGCTCACACAGACGCCCATACTGTGAATACGTGTAGCTCTGAAGCAAGCACTTCTGCTGCATGTAATGGACATGTCATTCCGGCCAATAACAACAGTACTGGTTTTTAATAGCACATTCCCAGGCCCTATGCATATAGCAAGTCCCATAGAACAGCATTAGGTACCCTCCTAAGAGAGTATCACTTCAGAACTTGTGTTGACTACCATTGCTGAATAGCACCACGGTCACCAGACAGCCCAGGGGAGCCCTTCAAAGGTGGCTGTAGTGATACTCAGCAATGAGGTAGGTAGCACTTTTTCTTGGATGAGTTCATGGTCTTAATTCACTGAGCTCTTATCTCCAGTTGTCTCCAGTAGAAGCATCAAGAAATAGTAAATAAAAAGCCCCTACTCCCAGCAGTGCCCTTTTCAAAGAAATCGTCCCCTTCCAAGTGCATTTCTTATAAATTTTTAAACAAGAGCTGCCTTCCTTCAGTATCTGTAATGACCAGTGACCACTCCTCTGATTTTTGTCTCCTGTTTCATTTATTTATTTGCTTATTTACTTATGTATTGAATGCCCCAGCGCTAATGTTACCTTCCCTTCTGGCTTCCCCACTGCCGCTGGGCGTCTGTCCTTAGCTTTCTCTTTTGGACTTGATTCCATCAAGTAAACTGTAACCAAAGCTCTGAAGCATAAAACTTGGGCAGCGCTCCCCCTAGTGGTAACGCTGCAGATATCCTAAAGCTGTCTGCGTTACAAATGAATCCCTTTCTAACAAAACCTACCTGTTCCTTTCAAAGGTGTTGCAGAAAGCAGCAGCAGACCAGCGAAGAATGTCAAATGGCGAAGATGAAACAGGTTTCTGATGCCCTCTAAAAGCTTAGGTATTTCAGCCATCTGGAGGATGAGGCTACTCCCCCCACCTTGCCGCCTTTGCCCTCACCGTTAGAAAGTTCTTTATACCTCAGCTCCAAAGTTAAACTCTCCCATGAAGCTCTTCCTGACTGATCTGAAGCAATCCCTCTGTCCCTCTCTAATCTCATCATTTTATTTTCAAAGTGGCATCTTCTATGACTGGATTATTTTTTTTCTTGATCAGTTGAAAATATTGATTGAGTTCCTACTCTGGGCTGAGAACTCTTCAAGGTACTTGCAGAGATAATGGTAAAAAGGTCTTTGTTCATGAGGTCTTTGTTTGCAAGGAGTTTACATTCCAGTAAGGAAAGACAGATAAATCACTTACCTCTCTATTCGCATGCTTTATCCAGTTTTTAATTGTATACCCACCCCTCTCCCACTACGACATAAACCACAAAACATCAGGGCCCTTTGCTGCCTCGTATATCCAGGGCTGTAAGTAGCTGGGACTTGATGGGCCCTCAGTGAATATTAATTGAACAAGGAAAAAAAACAGGCTCGGCACCATAGCTCAGTGAGTAGGGCACCAGCCACCTACACCGAGGCTAGAGGGTTCGAGCCTAGCCCACACCTGCTAAACAACAACGACAACTGCAACCAAAAAATAGCTGGGTGGCAGGCACCTGTAGTCCCAGCTACTTGGGAGGCAGAGGCAAGAGAATCACTGAAGCCCAACAGTTTGAGGTTGCTGTGAGCTGTGACGCCACGGTACTCTAGCCAGGGCGACGTAGTGAGACTCTGTCTCAAAAAAAAAAAGAATAAGTGATATTGAACTTACAGCATAAAATTGCAAACTTAAATCTCAGATCTACCATTGGGCACACCAGTTTGCGTCTGTAAATCTCAGTTAATTCTTCTGTAAACATGGAAGTAATGACTATTGTACAGATGAAAGGAGATGCGGTTTGTTATATTTTGCGTAGTGTCTCACGCATGGGGAATGCACAGTAAATAATTGATGAGTTAAATTTGATGAAAGTAATCAGGAAGCACTTTTTGAAACCTAGACATTCTGACCAGATTCCCAGGGAAATATTTGTTTTAACTAATACCTTAACTCCCCAGATAGCTTCCCCTCCTCGGCACGCCTATATAATCTCTTTCTTGCAGCATTTCTGATTTTGCTCCTTCCAAACATACATAGTCTGATGCATGCTCTATCTGGAATAAGAAACTCCTCGAGGGAAAAATGTGCTTCCTCATGTTTTTATAGAGCATTACATGCAGCCTTGTATTAACTGTATCTTTTTGGGATGGGCCATCTCTTCGACTCCCCGGCAGTCTCTTTGTAGAGGAAAGCATGGAGCCAACTCACCCATCCACACAAAGTCCCTTTATCACTTCTGAGCACACAGTTGATCCTCCACTACCACATACTTGTCAAGTGAGTGAGCTGACTGTGGTAGGCAGCCTCTCAGATAACCCTCAATATTCCCCAGCTCCTGGGATTCCTGGACTTTCATTATCTCCTCCTATTGAGGGTGTGCTGGACCTACTGACTTGCTTCTAAGGAATAGAACGTGGAAGTGATAGTATGTCATTTCCAATATTAGTTTACTAAAAAAAACCCAAAATAAAGTGTAATTCCTATCTTTTGTATTCAAGTTTCTCTCTCTCTCTCTCTCTCTCTCTCTCTCTTTCTCTCTCTCTCCTTCTCTCTCTTCCTTCTTCACCTTTCTCTTTCTCTCTCTCTCCAGCAAGCCACCACAGTGGGCAGTAGTCCTTCAGCACTGAAGTAGAGGTGATGACAGTCATGTGTGAGACACAGTCAGGGGTCATCCAGGCAGCACAATCCTTGATTCCTAACCCACAGACTCTCTGAGATAATGAACTTGTCTTAAGCCACTAGGTTTGGGGATATTTTCTTACCCAGCAATAAATAACTGACGTATAGCAGTTAGTATTGTTCAGTAAATATTCTCAGAGTGAGCAAATGACCACCTTTTGGGTCTTCATTAAAAGTTACAACATATAAATGCAAAGACTTACAAAAGCAACACTTATGTGACTTGATTCTGCAACCTGAAAGTATCAGAACTGAAGTATAGAAATCAGTGATTCTTTACTCAAGTAGCCACTGTGTGTGATGACAGTATGTGTCAGGAAATGAGTGTGCTGCTCTGCCCAGGTCCAACATGGAGCTCCTGACCTGGAGGGCGGACCCTGGTCTTTCATAGGGGTCTTCACATTGACCATGTTGTCTCTATGAATTCTGGGTAGAAGAAAACTTAATAAAACCTGGTAATTTTTTTGAAAAAAGAACATCAAATCAGACAAATGTGGGTCTTGGCTTCCTACTGACTGACAAAGATATCTGAGAAAGTGACTAAATCTCTCCTGGTCCCCAATCTCTTCAGTAGTAAAGTAGGCATCATGATATCTATTTTGTTAAGATTTTGTATGATCCAAACCCGGTTTGGGAATGACTAATCCAAAGAAACTAAACAATATTGATAATCTCATTTGCCATGCCTTCAGAAACATGGGAAAAATATGAAGAAGGTCCATAGTGAGGCTTGCACAAAAAAATGAATGACCCATGTCAGAAGATGGATCTCTGCAGGCTGGAATCCCTAACTGAGTGAGCCCACAACCAAATGGGAGGTAGAGATCACTGACTTTCTCTTCATTTTCCCCAAACACATATGGAAACAAGAATCATTTACAGTTTAAGAAAAGTAAACTTAAGGGCAGTGCCTGTGGCTCAAGAGTAGGGTGCAACCTGGGTGGCGGGTTCAACCCTAGCCCCAGCCAAAAACTGCAAAAAAAAAAAAAAAAAAAAAAAAAAAAAAAAAAAGAAAAAGAAGAAAGAAAGAAAAGTAAACTTAAATTAAGAAGTTATAATACTCATAAAATAAATAAGACACATGAGGAAATTTAGAAACTTGTGAATGGTATGTGATGAAATGGAAATACAGAAATACACATATAACTGAAAGGGGCTTGCAAATCTAGAGTTTATCTGTTTATCTGAAAACTTTTTTTTTTTTTAAGGCTACTAAAAGGCAAAATTAGTGTTAAAAAAAGTTTAGTCTGCACGTGGGTCTCCCAGTCTGTTGGTGCACATCTATCTTCAGTTTACACAATTCTAACAACGATAGGTATTTAATTTTTTTGTCTTTAGATTAAGCTCTAACAGTTGCATAGTTAGACAAGCTTGAAGTCCTGAGAATTACGACTCTGACAAAAAGAAGATAATTGATCGCACATGAGATAAAAGCTGCCTCCCCCCCCCAAACAACAACATTAACCTGAGCCTAATTACTAAAAGAGGAGGAAATCCTGTATTTCCCAATAGCATCAGAGTCCATATCACTATTTTACAGAAGCCTGTAACTATTCTGATTCAATGGAATCTTTCCAAAGATGCTAAAACTATGATTTACATTTTATCTCCCTAAACCGGGAAGTGTTTCACAACTTTAAAAAAAAAAATGTTATTTGGCATTAAAAGTCATATACCATGTCACATTTCAGTCATCTATTGAATTCAAATATAAATTCCTCTCACCTGGTGGCAGCAAGCAAATAACATATTAAATAAATACCTATAAGGAGAGTGCAGACACCTGATGAGTCACTGTGGGACACGAGGCTGTGTGAAGTCGACCGTAACCTTGGATGTTGACTTCCAGAAGGATGGGCATGGCTGTGCTCAGCCGTCCCTTGGGGCCAGCAGGCGGACGTCTGCAGTGAGCACTCATCCACGTGGGAAGGAGGCTCAGACTGCAGCCTCTGGGTTTTTCTCTCTACCTGTGGACAGCGGAAATAGAGGGTCACACCATGGATGACTTTTTACAACATCTCACTGTACTTCCCTGGTATGGACAGGGCCCTCCATCAATTTTCCCTGTGATGTCAACTGTCTCACTTCTTCCCAAGAGGCACTTTCCTGTCAAATATTTTTCTCCCCTGTGGTTCACCAAGGCTTGGTTGAAGGTGTGCTGGACGGTGCCCACCTGCTCCTATCCATCTCCTCTCTCTGATGCTCATGCCCCCAGAAGACCAATCTCAGAAGCCTGCTTTAAACCAACTCCCCTTTCCTCTGGGTCATACAACCATGAAGAACAGCAGGGAGAGAGCGGAGTGTGTGGGGGAGACTGGCACTTTATCCCCCTAGGTTCCCTCACTGCTGGATTACTTGTTAGAGGGGGGCTTCCTCCTTTCTTTAATCAACTTTATTTGCATGCACTGAAATCCCTTTTACTTGTACTGTTTGATACCTTTTGAGAAACTTATATACCTGTGTAACCACCACCACAATCACGGAAGATCATGTGTCACCCTCCGTGTGACCTACCTCTGACTTGCCATCAGTCCCCACCTCCCCGGCCCCAGCCAACTTACTGACTTGGCTTCTTTCACTATAGATTAGTTTTACCTGCATTAGAATTTAATATAATGGAATCACAGAGTGCGAACTCTTCACCAAAATCATTTGGAGATTAATCTATATTGTTGAGTCTATCAATCGCTCATTACATGTAACTGCTGTGCCTCTCACACCCAAGACTGTGAAACCTGCCGTCCGCTCCTCGACTACACTGGCATTTTCCCAGTTGGGGAAGTGCTTCTGTGTTGGTTTCCCTAGGTCTGCCGCCTCCTTTGTATCTAGCCCCTTCTTTAAAGTCTCTTCCGTGACCCCTTAGAGATGTTCTGTCTGTCTCCTGCTCTGTCTCTAACCCAGCCAACATCACTTAGAGAAACCACATTAAAAGGATACGTAAACGGTTTGTCTCTAGGGACATGAAAGTTTTTATAGGCATTGTCTTAGTTCATTTCGTGCTGTTATAACTCAATACCACAGACCGGGAAATTTACAAAGAACAGAAATATATTTCTCACATGTCTAAGAATTGGGAGATTCAAGATCAAGGCACTGGCTGAAGTCTGGTGATGGCCTTTCCGGCTCTGTCTTCACGTGGTGGAACTCAGAGGGCAGAGCCAAACATTATATGAATTCCATCAGTGAGAGAAGAGCCTTCAGGCCTAATCATAAGATGTGACCCCACCTCTTAATACCATCACATGGGTATTGAGAAACATTCAAACCATAGCGGTCATAATTCTGTCATCCTGTATTATGTATGCCCTTCCATAGGGGGGGAAAATGTAGGTACCAGGGTTCACTAACTACAAAAGGAAGAGAAATGTGAAGATACCCAGCTCCTTGCCTCCCCTAGGGGACCGAATAGTAGGTCAGAAAGATGGGAGGCAAAAGGGCCTGAATCCTTGAATTTCTACACTTTTAGTATCTTTTTAATTCATTTTAATTTCAATTTACTGTAATTTTTAGAGTATAAATAATTTTTTTTAGAAACAGTTTATTTCTTCAGACAATAAAAGATACGTTTGCCAAATGAACGTTTGCTTGGAAAATCCAGAAAAGTATAAAGAAAAAATAAAAGTCATCCATCCATAAACCCACCATCCTGAGATAAACACAGACTATTTCTTTCATGTCTTTAATTTTTTTCTGAAATGATGATACATACAGAACTACTTTCAGTAAAATTACATTCTCAGAGAAATGTGGTTTTCTCCTCTTTACACCTATCTATATATGGCTGGCATTGTCATTACTATTCCGTATTATTTGAGGGCATTGTTTTATGCCCTTGTAACTCTTACATGCCTTACACACATTCAACCACTTCTCTACTGCTGGTGAACTTCTGCTTCTAAACTTTATAGAAAGCAAACCAAGTTTCCTTTCACTCATTGGCCATTATGATGGTGTTCTCTGACATTTGGGGACAGCCTAGTTTCTAAATAGGATTTAAAATCAAGGGATTTAACAGTTGAGAGAAAGGTGCTTGACAGCTAATCGAGGCAAACAGTCATTTGGGGAATATTCCCTGGGCCTAATAAGGAAAATAGTGAGGACCTCAGCCTCCACCTCCACAGAACTTCTTCTAACGTCTACCCTGCTAAGGTTCAATTAAGACGCAAAAGATCAGGTAACTTTGCAGGAAGACCATAATTCCTGTAATAACAAATGTCAAATGTTGCCATTTTAGCTGTTCTGAGTGACTGCCTTGTTATTTCTGAGGGTTTTAAGGGTAGTATTTGTCAATGGCGGTATCCCTGACTTTTCAAAGTAATTAACTTTGTATCCAAAAATAACCTTAATTGTTTAACCACTGGTGTATTAGGCATCACGGGAAGGATGTATCTTTTTCTTTGGAAGTAAATCTGATTCCTTCAGTCCCTGGATTTATTTCTCCAGGAACCATGTTATTGTCTTGTAAAATGGTCCGCCCCTCCCATTATCTCCTGAGTAGCAGTTAGCTGGGAAGGAAACAGTTATATTGATATATGAAGTTGGAGGCAGATGCCAAGCTAATTGATCTGAGTCGTTTAAATGGGAGAAAATACTTCCAAGAATCAATGGAGGTGCTAATTCGGCTAATTGTTGGATAGTGTTTCTTTTTTAAGTGAGCGATTTTCCCAATTACTGTTTATCATGTTGATTTTTCTTTTTTTGTTGTTGCACTGAGTTTATCAGTTTTAACTTTACTAAACCGTCTAAAGTATCGGTTTCCGATGTGTCTTTGCCCCCAAAGTTTTTATTGGCAACCTAATGACAGGTAGTTTTCCTGGATGTCCTCATCTACAGTAGGAAAACTAGGCCTGGTCTTTCACTAAGATGACTCCAGCGGGGACAATTTGCTGCCAAGGGCATCGAAAACAAAAACAAGAGTTCTTGTCTTATTGGAGTTGATGGACCAAGAAATAGAAGTTTATGCATATTACTTAAAATTACAAGGGTAATGAATAGGCAAACTAAAGATTAATATCTTACTAATTAAAAACTGGGAAGAGGAATACAGAGGGAGCAGATAATAGCTTAATTTCTCACCTTTCCAGAGGTGCGTGTACGGGGGAACATCCACAGATACTGCTTGAGATGGGTGGTTCAAGAGAGAGTACAAAGATTGGAAGTGAGAAGGAAGGAGGGAGAGGGAGACAGACTTTGAATTCTTTGTCTTAACCCTGCTATTTAGTAACTTCAAAATAATATTTTTGATAACAGCAGCATAAACACAAAGGTGTTAGGATCTGGAAAGAACAGTCAGTAGATCAGAGCAAAAAAGGGGACTCCTGGAATCCTACAAGGAAAAAAGACTAAGCCAGTCGGGTCTGGCCCTTTAGAAATGACAGACTAAGAGACAGATGGCTGAATAATAGAGAATATTACAAATAGTAAAACTCAAAAAGAACAAAAGAAAATATCTGCTATTGATATGCATAATATTTGCTTGGAAACATACTTGGAAAGTTCATCTTCCTAACCCCAACCCCCCCCCCCAAGATCCACAAGCTTGCTCACTTAATGCCAGAAATTCTTTTAAGAAGGGCCTAAGCTTTTTATTCCAACGTGAAGGGTACCCTAGGGAAAAATTTACACATTAACTCAGGGTTCTGCTTGAGTGATTTTGACCTAAATTGGAACAAAGGTTTAAATGTCTGATATTAGGAGAGTACAAAACTCTGAGCGCTGAGATAGAGGAAACTCCGTCCACAGGAGCTTAGAAAGGGATGGCTGACCGATGGCACTAGATGCAAATACTTTGCATCAGAGCTCGTGCCTGCTGTGTTTCCTGCTGTCCACTCTCTTTCTCCGGCCTCTTTATTTCTTCCTGAGCAATGGCCCATGATGTTGCAGTCATTTTCATGGCTAAAATCAGCATCAGAATTAGATTTTCAAATAGTTACTATGAGATTTTGGCTGGAATCTTGGGCTGATCCCCATGCCGGAGTTTTCGTGGGCCTACCAGGGTGGTAATGAGAACTGTGAACTATCTCATCAGCTGGCGACTGACTTCCAATAGAGAAAAACATTTCAAGCCTCCCCTTCTGAAGTTCAGCAGTTAAAAAAAATCCACATCAGGGCACCAACAAGTGTCTCCCTGCAAGGAGAGGGATTCCTCTTCTCCTCCTCCTCCTCCTCATTATGGGTTGTCAGGTAACGTAGAGCAATTTCTTTCACTTCCCTGAGGATCAGCCTGCCCTTCTATAAAACGGGAATGTTGAATTTTGTCCTGCCCACCTTGTAGAGTATAAAGCACAAATGCGGAGAAAAGAATGAGGCAAAGGTGTGTAGGAAAGCCATTAGAAAATGCTCGGCCAATATTAACAAAATCGAAGTGATTCCAAGGTCGTGATCTCTTTGAGGTCAGGAATCCTGCACACGGCGCACTGCACGGAAGGCTGCACGTGGCGGATAGTCAAACGTGTTGTATGTGTGTATAGTTGAGAGAACAGGGCAAAAATAGACAAAAATGAAAATGATGATTCCCTAACGGAGGAGGGAGCAGTCTGGACAGACAGCATTGTGTTATCTCTGGACACTGAGCCCTCCAGAAAGAAGCTGGTATAAAATGGTGAAGAAACTTCAACAGCGTCTTGAGGGACACACCGGGTGTAAGATACTGAAGAAGAGATAAGACAATCAAACACAAGGACCACATATAATGGACGTATTGATCAAGTCCTACAACACATCCAGACTCCGTTGTCTGGTGGCCCTTTCCTGACGGGTAAATAGAAATAACAGACATGAGACCTTCCAGGGAAACTCTCAACATTGTTTTAAAGCTAAGTCATAGATTTCAGAATGTGTCACTGACAGCTTAGGGCCCCAAATGGGGAAAGAGAGAAAAAAAAAAAAACAGGGTAGAAGAAAATGGTAGTGAAAGAAACAAACTGAAAGGAGGTAAAAAAAAAATATGAAATACAAAAATAAAAAT